AAATAAAAGGCGCCGCCGCCGCTCAGCGACAGTATTGTTGGTGTGTTATCTTTTATGTGAAAAAGAGCTCGCCATGAATCTGTATTTGGAAGTGTTTTGTTTACATAATATGACATGAAGAAATGATTTCGTTATTGTATATGTAATAATTTATACTTTATCGACTTTTGTCATTATCAATAGACACGCAAAGAGCTTTTTTCTGAATATTCAGCTACTTTATTATCACATATTTATATTATTTAATATGAATAATTCAATGGTTACACGCATTTTCCTACCACATGTGGTATTCAAGTATTCGGTATTCGGCCGAATAGTATGAATGATGCCAAATATTCCAAATAACAAAGAGTAGCCAATTAGGGGTTGCAAGTCTAGGCATAAAACTTGAATAATCATGTAGCGCGTTAACAATTACTAATAGTAATTACACTAATACAAACGAGCTTAGGCGCCAAAAACTGCCGAATATTTGGTATTCGGTCTTTCTAGCGTGCCGAATATTCGGTATTCGGCATTTTGTCGAATATACTATTCGTTGCAAGCCTAGTTGGGACCTTTCTTCGTAGCTAGATACATTTTTAAAAAAAAATTAAATTTTTAAAACTAAGAAAATTAGATATTTTGGAAATTTTGAACTTTTTTCGAAGCAATCGCGCTGCGTTAGACATAATATTAAAGCGCGTAAGCGCCGCGTCGCATTCTTACGGATAAATATTGGTACGAAATACATAGAAATGTAAATAAAATTTTATTTTATTTTTATTATTAAAATCTTTATAAAATATCTGATAATTTGATGGGCATACGTCTCTTGATCATTATTAACCAAAGTGGATTTTTTTTCTTTGTTTTATTGGATCTCCGAAACCGCTAGACCTGCCTTACCAAAAATTTTATAAATTTTTCATTTTGTGAATACAAATAAAATGTTTTTTGAATCATTCAAATCGAACGCTCCGTTATCTCAAAAACTAAATTAACATTTTTGGCACTTTTGCCCCATATCTTAGAAACGGCTGAATCTGCCTTTGCCAAAAACTTATTAGCACGTCTCTTTGTCAATACGAAATGAATGTTCTTTGAATTCACGTCATGTTCACGGAATTGTCGACGAAATACGTATCCGAACACACACATACATTTTTTCGGAGGTATGCCAAAATGTTCAGAAAGTTTTGAAAAGTAAAGATATATGTATAAATATTTGTATTTTTGATTTTTTGCGATTACTGTAACTTACCCTACGGGCAGTTAAAAAAAGGCGTTTCTTATGAAACTTAAGACGATTTTATAGACTGAAGGAAAATCCTAAAATATTATAGGAATGTGGAAAGTGGTTGAATTATAAAAAAAATATTAAAGTTTATAGACGATATACAAGCGCCTATTGCATTTATGGTAGGATTGTTTGAAAGATAAATGGAAAACGCATTGATTAGTTAAAAAATCTATTCTAAAAGGATTTTCAAACATTAATTATTAATTAAGTCATTCATGTAACTTGTCTTGAGGTATAGTGCTATTCATAAGTTATACTTATTTATCTATGATGTCATTTATCCAGTTACTTGCTGTTATGCACGATTGATTTGAGATATGTAATCTTGGTTTGCAATCACAGTAATTTAATGTAATTCTAAGTTGCCTGTCAATATCATACTCTTTTGTATAATGGATACGCCTTTTTTCCACTTAAGTAATGCTGTCTTGGATACCACCCCGCGATAATTTGAAACAAAAATCTGCTCGCTTTTCTTAAAAGATAATCCGACCGTTTCATCCTTCAATTTATATTAGAAAAATAATCTTCTATATTGAATTGTGAACTTATTTTTCGACTAAAGGATTATTCCATAATTCCATAAGAAGGTGAATCACCTCTCGCAACGTCTGCCCGAATCAGACTTTAGTGAGAAATTCGATATTGTAACTTTTAAGTTAAGCGAATCGCATGTCGACTTGAAACTCTCATTCATCACAAAATCGATACCAAGACATTCCAAAAAGTTTTCAGTCAAGTTTTACTGTATTCATATCGAATTCTCAGAATATTATATTGAATTTAGTTTTCTGAACAAATTTAAAGTTTTAGTTGTACTGGAGGAGAAGGCAGTTGAACTCGAGCGCAAGTATCTGCTCATTATGAATATTAAATTTTCTTTTACAAGTCGAAGATAATTAAAAATGAGTTTCGATTAAATATTAACTGGGAGGGTATAGCATGGAGCCTTTAATCATATTAATAGAATTTTCAGTTCTTTCTTTAAAGAACATAAATCAAAGATACTATATATTAAATGTTATATCTATATATACATATGAAGATAATACATGCGGAAAAACTAGTATGCGTGGAACAAAATATTCCAATCTGGTTTGATTTTGATTTGAATCTATTGAAGTTGTTTTTAATTTTTTAATTTTGGAGTAAGTTCAAAAATTCGCGTGAATAAGATTGCAGTATTATCATATAGTTTGAACTAAATTTGAAAATAGTGCGATAATTCATTAATTTTAACTTTTCTTAGGGTAATTAACTTCCCGTAGGGTAAGTTATATGGTAATGAGCCAAAAATCGAAAATGAAAATTTTTGCATATCTTCACGTTTCCGAGGTTTTTGAACATTTTAGCATACCTCAGAAAAAAATGATGTGTATTTGCACATTTAACTCTGTATCTCCGAAACCGCTGGACCTGCCTTTGCTAAAAACTAATCACCCCTTCTCCCCGTCATTACGAATTGAATGTTTTCTGGATCATTCAAATCGGATGCTCCGATCTCTCAAAAACTCGATTTCTATTTTCTGCACTCTTCGGTCCGTATTTCCGAAACGGCTGGACCTGCCTTTGCCAAAAACTAATTAGCACATCTCCCTATCAATAGAAATCGAATGCTTCTTAAACCATTCAAATCGGTTGATCCGTGCGCCCGAAAACGTGGGCGAAAATTTGTATCCATACACAAAACACACACACATCCATTTTTTCTGAGGTATGCCAAAATGTTCAGAAACCTTCAAAACGTCGAGAAATGTAAAAATTTTCAATTTCGATTTTTGGACGTTTACAATAACTTACCCTACGGGAAGTTAATAATAAAGAATACTTTTCTACTAAAAACTTATCAGTGCGATTTTAAATTGATATTCTTTTAGGGACACCTATAAAATTGTAACGAATGTGTCAGTATTTGTAATGAATGTTTTATAGATTCGTGACAATTAGTAGATAGTTTATAGATTCGTGACAATATGTGAAATTTAATTTTAGTGCATAAACATACAAAATACTTCGAAATTTAAAAAAATTGCGTGGGTCTTTAATACTTTAGCATGTTTGATTAGATTATGAACTTCTTTATTGCTATATGCCATATCAAACTTGTTTTAAAGGAAATAGCCAGATTTTCTGGATGAAATGAAATGAAATTTGAGAAATATTGAAATAAAATTAAATTGAGAAATGAAAATATTTGCAAAATATTAAATGTAAGGTTCAAGAATCAATTGGTTTTGTGTCTCGTATATACAAAACAAATAAAAAATGTGTTATTCAATAATTTTGTCAGATAACACATTTTGTATTATCATTTCACCATTTTTTTTTTTTTTGGATATAATTTACATCTGTCCAATGGACATTAGGTAAATTTTATGAATAACAAAACAACAAAGAAGCTGTCTGCAAAATAAACTATTGAATGCTTGAGAAGAGTGCACAGTTGCAATCTCTCCTAATTTAAGAAAAGATTATGATCTAGATTGACTTGGGATGCCAGTTAGGTCCAAAGGCGTTTTTCTTTTTAATCTTTTGGTGTAGTTTGCTGAGATGAGTGCCTTGGCGAGCCCGTTGGGATGGTTCTCCAGTCGGTGACTATGTTTGAATTTCACCAAATTAATACGTAGAATGCCTATTATATTTTATTCTAAATATAAGGCTGTAATATTTTTAAATCATTCACAGAATTTAATTAATTATTAATTGTGTTTTATCTTTTATGCGATAAAGAGCTCGCGATGAAATTGTATTTGATATTCACCAGCTACTTCATTATCACATGTTTATATTATTTATATGAATCATTCAATTGTTATACGCATGTTTTGCATAAATACAATAAAGTCATTGATTATGTTCAATCTAAGCATTTCCAGATAAATAATTATTATTGGTTCTTTATCGCAAAACAATATTTTTTTAGAAATACATTAACATATATGTAAAGAACCGCTTTTTTCACATTTTACCATTTATTTTTGCCTTATCGCATGTGGTATTCAAATATTCGGTATTCGGCCGAATAGTATGAATGAGGCCAAATATTCCAAATAACAAAGAGTAGCCGAATAGGGGTTGCAAGTCTAGGCATAAAACTAGAATAAACATATAGCGCGTTAGTAATATAACAATTATTTATAGTAACTACATTAATACAAATGAGCTTAGGTGCCAAAAACCTGTCGAATAGTTGCCGAATATTCGGTATTCGGTCTTTCTAGCATACCGAATATTCGGTATTCGGCATTTTGCCGAGTATAATATTCATTACAAGCCTACTATAAATCCAAAAGCTGAAAACTATTTATATGAATATGAGATATAACAATTCTGAGTAATTCTGAGTTTTGTCATCAAACGCAACTAGATCAATTCCATGAAAATGATTTCATCTCTCATAGTTTTTAACTGCAACTTTTACCATACATGTTATATTCGCAATGTTTTTTCTAGTTCTGAAATACCAATATTTACACATGGTTCAAAATCAAATATCGATATGTTTCATAACATCCAATTAAAGAAATAATGATTATTCTTTAGCAAACGCAACGGAATTTTTCATTAAACTGCGTAGGCTTTTAGGCTTTTGATTGATTTTTTAATATTAATAGCGAAGTGATGGAATATAAATATAGATTCACAAAGTATAGGGAACGTTTTAGATTGATGAAGATAGGTGATTAATTCCCAGTAAACACTACATGTTGCCGTAATGAAACTTGTGAGTTACAAAGTTATATAACAAATGTTAACTAAGTGTAATATTTGTGCAATGTATATTTTCCACAATTTTATATTTCCATGAAAATTTCGAAATTTCAAATTCAAAAACTTCAAAATTTTCAAAAAAAAAAAATTATTTTTCAACTTTAAATTTAAAAGTCTCAAGATCATAGATAAGTAAACAAAACACAGCTCAAGATTTTGAAGACTAGTATTTGTGTACATAATAGTACGAGAGTTTATAACAGTGTTTGTAAATATAATAGTACGAGAGTATATAGAAGTGTTTGTAAATATAATAGTACGTGAATGAGTAATAGTATTTGTGTACATAATAGTACTAGAGTATATAACAGTGTTGTATATAACTAAATATAATATAGTACGTCAATGAGTAATAGTATTTGTGTACATAATAGTACTCTCGTACTGTCGTTTTGTTTATTGTAAAATTTTAATTGAAAAATAATAAATACATTGAAATATAATTTAGATGAAATTTACTTATTTTTGCATAAATTAAAAACATTCCAGAGAGTATTAATCTATATTGCATATGTATGTTGCCGTAAGTTACCGCAACTTCACAATGTAACGCACCTTGTAACGCACTTGATTCGGAAATAGTAATATTCAGGCAATGTATTTGATAAGATTACCGTAATGTAACAGGTAACTGATGTTATATAACTGCAATCTAACGGCAATGTAAATTTGTTTAGGGGGTTTATATACAGGGAACACTTGTATTATAAAAATTATTCAATATATTGGACAAAAAAGCCAGTATACAATCGGCTAATCTAAATCCAATTAAGGAAAAAACGACTATTCTTTTCGGCATCCACAAAATTGCAGGTTTCAATCCTGCATTGAATAATCCAGTAGTGATATAAGTTTTCACTTATATGAAAAGATAAACATATATTTTATGTTTTTAACATATGAAAAGCCATTCGATGTATCTCGATAAAGACTCGCGTTGCTAGGTTTTATGCTACAATCGCCCCATGCCTTTTTTAAATTAACAGGTAACTTCAAAAACATTTACCCTCGTTTTAGCCAATATACTGAATCGATTTTAAAAATTCAAAAATTCTTCAAAAGATATCGGTTGGGAATTGTAATAATTAGCATCTGGTAAGGATCAACCAGTCTGTTCCTACATTATTGATGTTGAAAGTTTTTTCTCAACGAATTTGGTGAAAAATTTTATACGGTCTCAAGAGATTCTGAGTTATTATCGGCGTATGAAATGTGGTTTAATTATGAATATTCAACAAAATTTTGAATTAGTTGGTATTGGTATTTAGCCTTGAGGCAAGTCGATTATTTACACATATCGGGAAGTTCATGTAACTTGCCTCAAGGCTAAATACCAATACCAACTAGTTTTTTTTAATGATTTTAATGGAAATCTGTATGACAATAGATTTCGTAGTGTGAAACAAGCTAACAAAATATTATATGCTTACGATAAGTGATTGAATTATAAAATTCATCAAAGTTGAGAATTGCGCCGCATGCTTAAGCGATTCTAATCAGAATCTATGCCGAAGCATATGTACATTATGCTTTTTGTAGGTAGCTACTGATTACAGTTGACGTCAATGCTTAAATGCATTTTCAGAACACTAAATAGATGGAATAAAATGTGTTAAACAAATAAATTCAATTTATACAGGCACTATAAATGATTCTGAAAAATATCCATTGGCAAACGTATTGATCATTTTTTTCGCGAAAGCGAAAATTTTATTTTCGTAATAAACAGTTAAACATTTTACATAAGTATGCTAATCCGAATTCGATTAAGTTGATTATGTATACCAACTGGAAAGTTTATGCAACTTGCCTTAAGACCAAACGCTACTTACCACTAGTTTTTCATTTCAATCTGTTTATATACCAAACCATCAAATTTTTTATTGATATTTTTTTTGTAACGAAATTCATGTATTCATTTACACAAACCATTGCTGAAAAATCCATGCCCGGCTTATAGCCTATGCTCGCCAAGCAGCTTTTATGAAGCTTTTGTAACCGTGTTAAAAGTTTGAAGTTTCTCTAGTGGCTTTCTATGTCGAAAGTTCCCTGCTGCTCGCGAGCTTCCGCACATCAAGCTCTCGTCGCAACGGGACGCACGTACAGAATAATGAGCTTTTCTATTCAGAGCTTAAAATCCTATAGTGGAACATGTTTTTGTATTGTTTCTGATTCGGATTTGTATGGAACAGTCTAAAAATAAGATTTTAATGGGCCCTTGTCAATCAATGGGCCGACATGTAATTAGAGATTTTATGAATTTTAGTTTATTACACTCAGGGTGTTAAAAAACACATATACATAGTTATTAGATAAAATTATACGTACTCAAATACATTTTCACTAGATCAAAATATAAATCTGTGATAAAAATTATATTCATTTTCTTATGAAAAATGCAGCCTTGTCTATTAGATTAGTGCTTATGTTTCGAAATATTATACGTTTACAGATTTTATCAAGGCTAACAAATAAAAACTAGTGGTATATGGCATCGAGCTTTAAGGCAAATTGCTGAAAATTCCCGTACCGTAACAAAAAGTTTGAGGAATATTAAATGTTTTCAAATAGACTATTATAAATATTGTAACATTGTCTAAGAATAATATAAACTGAATTGCAAAGTTGAAATTATTTGTTTAAAGTATATTAGAACTATAATCAGAATCAAAAATAAAATTTGAACTATTTTCGATATACAAAAAAAAAATATTTGAAAAAATAATTGTAACATTTTTTTTCAAAAGCAATTATTTTATCAAAACGAGCAGAAAGTTTTTTGATTCATTCAAATCGGATGCTTAGTTCTCTCAAAAACTGCAATGTTTTGCACAATTAGCTCGGTATCTCCAAAATGGCTGTACATGCCTTTGTCAAAAACTAATCACCACTTCTTTTCACACGGTTGATCCGTGTTCCTAAAAATATAGACATAAAATTATATTCATATATAGATTTTCATTTTTGATATTTGAGCGATTACAATAACTTACCCTATGGAAAGTTAGTAAAAATTATTGAGAAACTTATAAATACCAAGCTAAGTAAGATATTAAATTTAGAGATGAATTTTTTTTATGTTTAAGAATTTTCACCAAACGATAAACTATAAACAATTGAAATCATATGTGTATCTCAATTAAGGCATAACTAAGCTAGGTGTCAGTGGCATTTTACCTGTAAACTTGCATGAACTTTCTGATACACTGTAAATTATCAATTAAAATTGACATTTAACTATTTTGATATAAGTATCAACAGTATATTTTTAATATAAAAAGTTTCATCAAAATCGTCAGAAGCTTTTTATTGAAAATCACGGAGAAACGGCTTAGCCGATCTTAACTAAAAATAAGTAAGCAACATTCCTAACTGACATTTTTCAAACAGTTTTCTAATTTTCAAAGAGAGGTAAATTTTGTTTTTTATTTACTAATTACAAAGAAATGGCTTAGCTGATCTTTGTGCAAAACTAGTCAACAAGAATCCTTATAGTGTTTTTTCAACATGAATTTAAATTGCGTTTCATTGAATTTTAATTTGACTTAAATGACAGCTTCCGCCTTGAATTTTAAAACGACAATTAATATAATTAATAATGCAGTTTACAACATTGAGAATTCTCATATGTATATACATATGTACATATATAGTTTTATTATGAATTAAGTATTTTATAGATTATTTAGGTTATCAGTTACAATATTTTAAGCTCACTCTGATCGGATTGGTTTCTTTAAAGATTATTTTTGTTTCCTCTTATTTTTTTTAAAGTATAATACATTAGCAAAATATTTTGTAAGTTTCATCTGAACGAAATCTGAAGAACGTACATTTTTCTAAAGTGTTGAAGAATATTTTTATACCTCATTTTGTTATTTGTTTTTTCTCTTCTTATTTAGAAGAAACAAGCGACAAGATGTTATAAAAATATTCTTACAAAACCTAATACAAATGTTTCGTATAACTGAAGGATATCAAAGTCTTTATAATTAACTAGCTGTACTCATTCACGCTTTGACATTGTTTTATTTTCAATGAAAAATTTAAACAAAATGGAATATTTGTTAAATCTAGTGTACCAGTTTTCTGGTCTTTCAGTCTACATGTCTATGTGACTATCTGTATATCTTTCTACCTGTCTACCAATTTACCTGCCAACCAATATACAAGTCAACCAATTCACCAGACAAATTAACCAGACCAATTAACCGGTCAACCAATTTACTAGTCAACCAATTTACCAGTCAACCAATTTACAAGTCAACCAATTTACCAGTCAACCAATTCACCAGTTAACCAATTTACCAGTCAACCAATTTACTAATCAACCAATTTACCAGACCACCAGTATTCCTGTCAACTTGTTTATTGCTCTACCAATTTAGCTTTTGACGATTTTACCTGTTCAACAATTTACCTGTCTATCAATTTACCAGTAATTTCAATAATCATTGCAACAATTACCTATTATTTCAAAACTATGATCATAGAAAAAAAAATTTGTAACTTGTAAAAAGTTAATTAACCCTTTCCACTCGGATGCCGTCGCACCGGGAGTAAAATTCATATAAATTTTGGAATTCGCGAGTGGAAAGGGTTAATGTTAGGTCTATTACATTTACTTTTATTTGATGCTCATATACACAAAACCTCACTCGATCTTCTTGTTTATTCGACCTAAACATCAAGAGAATACAAAATTATTCAATTAGATTATAAGAAAAATACTATATCATTTTATTTAGTTATTTTTTATTTAGTCTATTTAATTAAAATAATGGATGATACTAATCACATTACATAACTGCATAATAAATTTCCTTTTTATGTGCGTGTTCTATTTCACATGTAACATCATGAATACAAAGTATCATTTTAATCATGTAGAATTTTATTGCTTTGTCCATATGTGTCTCGCATCTGCACATGAATATTTTAATTGTAGTATTTCGGGCATTCCTAATCACTGATAATTTGACAAATCAATAGGAAGATTGGACTTAAATAAAAATGTAAGAAATATATAAGGAAGTTTTATTTTATGATATTATTAGCTTAAAAGTCATAGAATTATATTCTTTTTTTCTATTATTATATTGAATTCGGATGAATCAGTTATAGCATCCAAATTGGAATTGGATATAGCTTCTATTTGATTAAATATTTATCAAGACATTGGCTTTTTATCGGACAACTAAGTGGCATCTAGAACTAGATCATTGATTTATTCACCTTTTAAAAAAAAAATCACTTCAAACATATAATGTTTTACTTAATTTGACTATTAGTGCAGTAAACGGAGCGTTTTAGGTCTGAATTTTTTTTACTGTGCTCCGAATTTCATGAAATTTTGGAATTAGGTTCATCTTACCCTCAAATTCAAAAGTGAAAGCAATTCGGGTTGCGCCATCACCCCCCGGGGGGATGACCCCCCTTCTCAATTGTGTAATTACATTTTTTTAAAATAACGTCGGAAATCGATAGAAGAGCTAATTATAATAAAAAATGTCTTCTATAGTTTTTCAAAAAAACTAATACTTTTCAAGTTACTGGCCACTAAAGATTCATATATTTTTGGCGTTTTTCTTCGTCTTTTTACAAATATCTCCTAAATTATACATTTTAACGAAATTCATGTAATTAACAAAATAATGTCAATAAAAATCTTAATAAATCGGTATTACATAAAGTGTTCTAAGAAAAACATTAAGCAAGATTTGAAAGAGCAAAGTCGTTTTTTATTTCGTTCAAGATTTAATTGTTGTATTTAAAGCCATCTAGTCTCGAAGTTTTACATTTTATGCAATTCGGTGAAATTGGGTTTTATAGTGCTCAACATAAGCTTTAAAATGAGTGCTGTTACAAGTTTTTTGCGTGTAAAATGAGTGAGCTATCATGCAAATAAGAAGGCATATACGAAGTTTTTTTCTTTTAAATCATATAGTTTAATGAGCGCCATTTCCACCAGAATGAAAGTAATTCACATTCCATCTAGAATTCACTTCATTATAGACATCTTGATGGATTCTAGCAGATTCACTACTTTAGTACAAACTATTTTCAGAAAACTCACGATTTTATAAAAACTTTTTTTCCAATTTGCGCGGTCGCGCAGTCTTTAAACATTCATAACTCTGTCAATTTTTGTGTGAAAGAAAAATAATAAAAAACAATAATAAGCCAGAAAGATTCCTTTGATTTTTATCTATAAGCTTTTATACGTATCTTTTATTCTTTTTGAGATATAATGAAAATAATTTCGATTTTTAAAAAAATTGAAAAAAAAAGTTTTTATAAAATCGTGAGTTTTCTGAAAATAGTTTGTACTAAAGTAGTGAATCTGCTAGAATCCATCAAGATGTCTATAATGAAGTGAATTCTAGATGGAATGTGAATTACTTTCATTCTGGTGGAAATGGCGCTCATTAAACTATATGATTTAAAAGAAAAAAACTTCGTATATGCCTTCTTATTTGCATGATAGCTCACTCATTTTACACGCAAAAAACTTGTAACAGCACTCATTTTAAAGCTTATGTTGAGCACTATAAAACCCAATTTCACCGAATTGCATAAAATGTAAAACTTCGAGACTAGATGGCTTTAAATACAACAATTAAATCTTGAACGAAATAAAAAACGACTTTGCTCTTTCAAATCTTGCTTAATGTTTTTCCTAGAACACTTTATGTAATACCGATTTATTAAGATTTTTATTGACATTATTTTGTTAATTACATGAATTTCGTTAAAATGTATAATTTAGGAGATATTTGTAAAAAGACGAAGAAAAACGCCAAAAATATATGAATCTTTATTGGCCAGTAACTTGAAAAGTATTAGTTTTTTGAAAAACTATAGAAGACATTTTTTTATTATAATTAGCTCTTCTATCGATTTCCGACGTTATTTTAAAAAAATGTAATTACACAATTGAGAAGGGGGGTCATCCCCCCGGGGGGTGATGGCGCAACCCGAATTGCTTTCACTTTTGAATTTGAGGGTAAGATGAACTTAATTCCAAAATTTCATGAAACTCGAAGCACAGTAAAAAAATTCAGAGGTTATACCCTTTTTTCCTCTCCGTTTACTGCACTATATATAATTTTTTCAACTAACATAAAATATTTGTTATAGTAAATTTTACAGGTGTTTGTCAGATATATGTAAAAAGTTTGTCAAAATAAGTAAGTCAGACTTATTATATAAAAATTATTATAAAGATTTAAAAAAATCAAAAACTGTTTGAAAAATATTAGTTGCGAATACTGATTAGCTTTAGGTGAAAATCTACCGAGCCGTTTTCTTGTAATTAACTGTTGAAAAAAAAAAATTAAGCCGATTTTTATGGAACTTTTTTGTCGATATATATCATGGTCTTATAGAACTTACTGAAATATTACGGCCTTACGACAAGTAATTTAATTTTAAAAATTCATCAGAGTTTGAGAAAATGAGTAGTTTTTTTGACGTTTGTTAAAATTAAAATTAGACGATTTACTTGGTATAACGATAGATTACTTAGTCTTAATGAACATACTAAACTATTAAAGTCCTACAGAAACTGATTTGATAATAAAAATTATTGATTTTTGAAAATTTGCTTTAAGTAAATACTCTTAGTTGACGTGTTCGTTCCTTTTCTATTATGTGTAATAAATCCACTCTGAATACTTTTAATTACTCATAAATTAATTTAGTTTTATTTCATCAAGTCGATTATTTACACAAATCGGGAAGTTCATGTAACTTCCCACAAGGCAACATACCAATACCAACTATTTTTAATCAGCAATAGTAATATGTACTATTACAGAGACCTTTTGCCAATCGATGATTTGCCTTCTAATGGTATCATTACCTAGATATAAGCATTTTTGGAAAAAAGCTCGAAGAAAATTTAACAATTACGGTCGCCGTTAATTCGATAAAAAAGATGTTACCTAAAAAAATCCCTTAAGGACCGATTCTGCCGCATAACAGCCAAATGTTATGGCAAGGCCATGTAACACTCCAACTTCCATACATAACATAAGTTACTGAATCATACTGAATACTGTCAAAATGTCTTGTATTTGCTGTGCATTCAGGCGTTTTACACATGAACTGCAATGTTACTAGTGTGTTATGAAGCTGGGTCAGAAAGACCCTGTTATTTAACATCGTTTTTTTGACATTTGCTCGGTTTCTAGATTACGTTCTCTATATCACAACCTGAGAAAATTGCCTCACTGCACAACAACCATATGGCTTTTGTCAATATTTAGAAAGTTCTTCATAACATGGCCTTGCCATAACATTGGTCTATTACACGGCAGAATCGGTTTCTAAATCCATAGTTAAATTAGTTCAGCTCCTTGACTGTTTCTTTTACTTTTCAGACAGCCGCCTCTTTGGTGACCGGCACAAGTATAGCCCTTACAGGGGCCGATGTGAGCCCAGTGACTCTAAATGCGGAATGGTCGCGCCTGGCGAGGCTGCTCCTACTTGCAGCCCTTTCAGTATGCGGCTGTGTCGGCAACGTCTTCATGATCAGTGCTTTTATGATAGAGGACCGCCTTAAAAAAACAGGTATGGATATTATAATATTATGTTAGTAGTTAGTAGTTATAAGTTTGAATGTAACGGCCACCAGTTCATATCAATACAATAGATGGCTCTGTGACAGCACAGGGCGAATAACTTCGATACTGATATTTATATTGATATTTGAATGCTATATCTATATTAAGGTTGGCATTGATATTTATATTGATAAAGATATTGATATTTACATTGATATTTAATTTAATACCTATTTTTATATTGTTACTTGAATTGAATGAATTGTATTGGGTAGGTGTTCCGACGACTGTTTACCCTCGGATACTTTTGGTTTTAGTCCTTGGTATTGATAAGACACTCCTAGTGTCTAGGAGAAAATTTGTTTTGTTATTTTACTAAATTTCTAAAAAAATATGATCGATTACAAATATCGAGATATTAATAATATTATGACCCTATGTTTTCACCTCTTCTCCAAAACCAACGCCAACTTGTGTTACTATATATACTATCACGGCGTTTGAAGCTACTCTAATAATCAATGGGCGAATTCTGGGATAACTTTTTTTTTCAGTCCCAAGCTGTCATAAATGACATTTGGTAAATGGTTCTGGTATAAATAAGTGTGATATAAGATTACCCACCGGTAATTTTTATATTAGTGTAAATATACTTAGTTAAGTATATTTACAGTTATACTTATGATGCCAAATTTATCTTAATACTACTTCCTAATATACTAGACTAGAGCGTTAAGGTAACTAGTTTTGTTCTTTTAAGTCTAAACTCATGATTTGTGTCGTAGAGTTTGGCTGCTAGATGGTTGGAAGTGAGAATGCCATTCAAGTTTTTCCTTGAATTTTTTGAGATTTTTGTTTTTTTTGCATATTGGTATCCTGGTGAATTATCCAATTTCATTCATTGACGCAAATTTGATGTTTGTTCCTTTACTTGATCTCCACAATTGTTTACCGTAGGTCCAAATCAATAACATTATGTTGAAGATTAGATATACTAGATGCAAATATTTTATTGTGCTGAATCAAATTATCTCGATTTTTAGTCTTGAAGCACTCAAAAAGCTATAACTATCTTGTTTATATGAGGGTTTATTTAAAATTTGGATACACTCAACAGTTCAAAATTTAAATAACCTGTAATTAACAATATGATGATTTGTCGTTAACAATTCAAAGATTTAATTAGTCGGAAATTGTTATTGAAATTAAGATAAATTGTTTGGTATTAAAACAGACAATCAAAGATGTTCTTGGGTATTAAATAGATAAAAAGTGGTATAATTATAAAAATTGAGTTAAGGAGTTTATCAATTACACATATGTAGGTATATACTGTACGTGCATCTATTTAAGATGTTTTCATAACCATTTGGCTAATTTTTTATTGTTGTTTTAACTTGAATAACTTACATTTATTTAATTATTATTTAAATTGGATATACATCACTATATAACAGTTAATATCGAATATATTGGTCAAAGTAAAATAAAAATTATTTGCATTAATATCCAATAAATTAATTTAATTTCGCCTTCATGGGATTTTAAATATTGACTTACCAGAATATGTAATTCTTTGTCAATAACTACTTTCTATGAAGAACCATAGCAAAAATATTTCATACGTAGTTTTTATCGGTTAATTGTTGATATTTTTAAATAATAATAATAATAACTCTTCATGCATGTCATTGTTTTTTGAAGTGGAACTTCCTTCACCGTAATTAAACTTTCGAAGAATGAAAATAATTAATAATCAACAAAAATTAATCTATAGTGTAATAACAATTATTTCAAATATTTTCAAATATTTTGCTGGATTTTTTCGTACCGTAGTTAAATAATAGATATCAAATGAAGACAATCAATAATTAACAAAATTTGATCTATGAGTATTAATAAAATTATCTTAAATATTTTCAAATATTTTGATGCAATTTCCCGTTCGGTTCGAGGAATATAAACTGTCAATTATCAACAAAAATTATTCAATGATTAAAAACAATTGACTAAAAATAATTAGAAAAATACGAGGAATGAAAATAACCAATATCAGCAAAAATATATCAATGATAAAATATTTAATAATATTGCTAGAACTTTCTGTACCGTAACTAAAAAATCGAGGAATATAAATTATCAGTTATTATTATATTATATAATTATTAACAAAAATTGATCAATAATATATTAATAAAATTACTATTATAATATTCTAAATTTATAATAATTATTGAGACTAAATTATTTCTCTTTAAACTACAAAAAATCACTCAAATTTATTTCTGCGAAGTAATATCACAGAACCTAATTACTGAATTTCATAAAAATATATGTTGTGCGTCACATTTCATTTTATAATAATATTTTCGTAGGGAAAATACACGGATAGTAACTAATAAAGTTATAATTTGCACTGTTTCTATTCATATTCCAACGAAATAAATTTTGTTAATTAACAACTAATAAAAATATATATTTCATAAAACACGAGCGTGCAGTATTTGACTTTTATTCATAATTGCCTACTTTTAGAAACAGAAACATAAACAAAGTTTTCATTTGGAGTGAGTTTCTCTTCGCTGGAAATAAATAAGCAGATAGAAAAGTTTTTGGTAATCAAATTAAAGTTTCATGGATGAAGTAATTATACTGACATTAAATGTAAATATCATAAATGTGTGTAAGATGATAGTAAGGGATTGGTATTGATAACTTTAATGCTGATGGTATTGATTAGAAAAATAATTGAAAATTTTTAGTTCGTATTGAAGCACAATTTTTTTTCGAATCTCTTGAAACAAAATTTTTGAAAAGGATTTAATATGGATAATATTAACAAAGTTTTGTTATGAACAGAAACTGATATCTTGATTGTCTGATGTATAATATTATGTTAGTTTCTGCTTGTTTATCCGCTAATTGGATTAACGAAACACGTAATTAGATAGAGATTAAGGATTAGGTAGTATTCTCTTAATTACATATCTTCAATTTAAAATTTAGGTTAAATAATTATGATTGCTCTTCAAAATGTTTAGATAAACATTTAAAATATTCGAGGAATATTAAATGTTTTCAAATAGATTTATAAATAAATACTGTAACATTGTCTAATATTTATAAGAATTATATAAACTGAATTGCAAAGTTGAAATTATTTGTTTGAAGTATATTAGAACTTTAGTCAGAACTAAAAAAACTGAATTATTTTTGACATACAAAAAAAAATGAAAAAAAAATTTCCAAAATCAATTATTTTGTTAAAACAAGCAGAAAGGTTTTTGAATCATTTAAACCGGACGCTTAGTTCTCTCAAAAACTGCCATTTTTTGCACATTTAGCTCTGTATCTTCGAAATGGCTGGGCCTGCCTTTGCCAAAAACTAATAACCACTTCTCCCAATCATTACTAATTGAATGTTTTTTTGATCATCCAAGTCGGATGCTTCGTTCTCTCAAAAACTCGATTTCTATTTTCTGCACTCTTTGCTCTTTATCTCCGTAATTGCTGGACCTGCCTTTGCCAAAAGCTAATCAGCACATCTCCCTATCAATAGGAATCGAATGTTTTTTGAACCATTCAAATCGGTTGGTCCGTGCGCCCGAAAACGTGAACGAAGCATGCGGACCCACAAAACACACATATGCTAGAAAACACACAAATGTTAAGAAAACTTCAAAACGTCGAGAAATTCAAAAATTTTCAATTTCGATTTTTGGACGATTACAATAACTTACCCTACGTGATGTTAAAAAACATTTCGCTTTTTGTAAAGGCAGGTCGAGCCGTTTTGAACATACTGGGCAAAAAGTGTCAAAAATGGTAATTGATTTTTTTTAGAGAACGGTGCGTTCGATTTGTATGATTCAAAATACATTTTATTTGTATTGACGAAATGAAAAACTGATGAAGAATTAATTACTGGGAAAACAGGTCTAGCGGTTTCGGAGATTCAATAAAAAAAGTGAAAATAAATTCCATTTGGCGGCCAAAATAATTATTAGACATATACACATCAAATTATTGCATATCTTATATTTTAATAATAATAACAATTTTTGTTCTTTTTCTATGGGTTCCGCACTAATGTTTATCCGTTATACTGCGATGCGGCGCGCACGCGCTCCAATATTTGGTTTTTAAGCAGCTAACTCATCGCGATTACATTAAAATATTTTTAAAATTTCCAAAATATTTCAAAGTATGAAATGAATCAAATTCAAAAAGGTCAATTATTTTCAAAAATTTTAAAAATCTCAAAGATCGATTTAGTTTTAAAAGAAAATTGGACTTTTTTTTTTCAAAATTTAAATTTTTGGTACGGGAAGTTCAGCAATTTGCCTAAAGGCACGATGTCATGCACCACTAATATTGACCAAATATTGCTGAACCCTAATACCATCAGATATCTTTTATTTCAATTTTTTAAAAAGTTCTGAAAAACGTGAACAAATGTGTAATATTGTAAATACATGGCTTATTTGATGTAATTGGAATTTCTGTTAAAACTAGAAAATCTATATTCCTAACTAATTTCTAGTAAATTAATATTCCTTCAAATATTATTTTGAAATAAATAATTACATTGCATTATGAGTCTTTTTCTCAAATATTTTATTGGTTTATATTAAATGAATCATTATTAAATATTTTAAATTTAAAAGAAGTTTAAGCAATTTTGGTGAAACTTAGACGAAATATAAAATTTATGTCACAGTTGCTATATAACAAATTGTTTAAAATAATCTTACTGTTGAAGAATTAAAATTAGATAATAAATGCATTGGCTTTCTACTAAAGAAAAAATAGTTTCGTATATACATACACATGCTATTTTGAAAATAAAACTAAATAACAATAATTATATAATATTTTAGTGCACAATAATATAACTAAAAAAGAATGAATCAAATAATTTTTCAATAAAACTAGGATTTATTAAGAATAAGGAATTTATGTGAGCCGCAAAAGAATTACGTTAGATTCAAAGTAATCCGGCGAGAA